AGCTTTTGGATATGGAGCTTTTGTGAGGGTTTTGGAATGAGAGGAAAGTTGAGAGAATTGAAGGGGGGGTGTAGAAAATTCAGAAAATGAGTGAGAGTTATGAGAGGTTTGAAGCAAAATGATTTAAGTATGGTTTAGGTTTGGAATTAAATGTGGTTTGGAGTGTGGGTTAGTGTTTGGAGTGGAAATTAGGAATGAGATTAGGAATGAAAATATTTGAACTTTTGGAGGGAATGAAATTAATTTGTGAAGATGAATCAAATTTTAAACCAATTCTAGATCCTTCTACTGATGCACATGAAAACTCACATGACCAAAATGCAATCCAAATGCTACAATGCTGAAAAATGAACAATCTGGGAAAATTTTCCTGTGGTAATCGATTACCCAGATTGTGGTAATCGATTATCCAGATTGTGGTAATCGATTACCACATTCAAAATTACAAATTTGGCGCCACAAGGAGGAAAACTTGGAGAATCACCCATAACCACTTGTTATGAGCTTTGTTCTACCTTTGAAACTTGTCATTTGATATTGCACCTGTATAACTCCTGAAATAAAATCTAAACTGTCTCATACGCTCAAAACGAATCGCTGAAAAAAATAATTGTGTGCTTGATCGCTGAGCAAAATAAATGTTGAAGCCTCTGATGCTTGCTGCTTAAAAACTTGCAATAAAAGAAAACCTTGAGTCATAGAAACAACTTGATCCCATGTCCCAAGAACTAATGTCATGATATGCATAATGATAATGCAAATGAACAAAACATAAGCCAGTTATAGTTAAAAACGAAACGACAAATTTTGGGATGCTACACTATCATACTAATTTTAGATTCAATATTTCACTTTAGTTTACTCTCAAAATAAATTTGTAGAAGTGTGATTTTAATTAGGGTTACAGATTGATTAGAATCAAACATAAATGTGAAAATTCAAATTCTGTCCAATTTTATTAGAATCGCATATTACACATGATTCTAATCACAATGTAAAATCTGAGTTATCTGTTGATTCTATCCAATTTGATTCGAATTAGAGAATACATTTGATTCGAATTACAATATAAAATTTGAGTAATATTTTGATTATGTCCAGTTTGATTCTAATCACATTTTACACTTGATTTGAATCGTGACACTGTTTGAGTCAAATCACATATTACACATTGTTCAAATCATGACATTGTTTGACTCGAATCATGGTTTACACACTCTATAAACTTCAAGAACATATTGAATCAATCAACTTAATTGAGCATTTTATATCCTTTATTTTTATTTTTATTTTTATTTATTTCTCATATTAGTAGTTCAACTTCACATGTTCGTACTTTATTCTTTTTGAAGTAGTTAAGAAACTCACATTTGAGAAAATAATTCCTCCCTTAGCCTAATTGCTTGAAGAAAAAGGAAATCATTTGTTAAGGGATACTAGTCGACCCCTAACTAACTTTCATAATTCGACATTAGATTTGTACTTGCTCTCATTCATTTAAAATATTATAAGAATTGCTCTCTGAGTACTCCCTTTGTATCCCTTTGTATCGACGATCACTCTCTTTCCAAAAGCCTCAAGCATCACATGCCCGTCAACTTTTGTTCAGTTCGTCCTTGAACAAAATTCTGAATTTATTCCTTAAAATAATTCTTATTTTATAAAATATAAAGTTATTTTTAAAAAATTAACTAAATTTTTAAATATATTTTTATTCAAAAAAATTAAAATCACTCGGCGATGTTGATGACAAGCATACTTAAAACTCAAAGAATCAGCCTCGCCCGATTCAATTTTTAATATTATGGCAAAAAAGTTGTACTTAAGATTAATTTGATAAACTATATATTCTCTTTTATTCATTTGGCTTATGTTTGATAAGATTAAACATTATGTTTGATAAGATTAAACAACTAGTATTGTGTATGTTCCTTTGACAAAAATAGAGTTGCTTGATAACAATCATTTCTCACAATTAGTTAAAAAAATGTCTTTCAAATAAATTGGTATAATCAGGTGGGTGTGGTAACTTTAGGTATTTTTTTAATCAAAATGATAAATAAAATAAAAAAAGATTACAAGAGGATCACAAGAGGGGCCAAGCCAAAACCCCTTAAGAGTAAAGTCTAAGCCTATGGATACCTAACTTGTCAAGTAAGTAATCTTGATTTTACTATGAACAACATTAGACCAAGTAAGAGATCTAGAATTCAAACCCAAATTGGCAAGCGAGTCTGCATTGCCTTCTCTTTAGATGTGGGAAACCAAAAAATCAATAGAATTTGAATAAGTAATACAATTCATCTAACAGGATTTCAGTCTCTAAGGGACCAACTTGTGATTAGATAAGGCTTGAACAACCAAAGAAACCAATTCAAGCCAATTTCTAGCCTTTGCATTCTCCAATGTAACAATGGCAGTAGAGGTCTCTGCCATCAAGACATATCCGCATCCTAAATAACCATAAAAGCTACCCACAAAAATACCCATATTATTCCTAAAGACTCCACCATAATCACCAATGGAAGGAATGTCTCTAGCAGCCCCCATCAAGATTACATTTTAATCAACCAAGAGGGCGAGGGTGCCACAAAATGTATTTGGTCTTAATCGGCTTATGAGGATTAAAATTAATGCTTAAATGCTTAAGAATAGATAAATTAGAGATTAAAGAACTATAAACTTTAGCAGTGTTGTTACCATCAATCTTCACTTGAGAATAAATGAAAGTAATACATGCAGACCAAGAAGGATTCTTGCCTTCAAATCTGGAATGATTCCTAGTTGTCCATATCTGATGGAAGATATTAATGGTGCATGCTATGATAACAACCTTCACCTGAGGGGACCAATCCAAAATAATGGTATGCTTGCAATCTAAGACACAACCAATATGCTAAGAAAGATTAAAAGCTCAAGTGAACCAATCCCATAATCTCTGAGAAAACAAATAGTCAAAAAACAAGTGATCGGAGTTTTCTGCATTCTTTTTGTAAAACTCACAAATAAAGGGAAGGGAAAAAGCGCTAAGGGTCATGTTATCATCAATAGGTAAGCAAGTATGCATGTATCTCCACACCAGCATAGATCTAGAAGGGGAATGCAGGAGTTTCAAGGATAAACCGACCAGAAAGAGCAAGGATTAGGTTTATCCAGGAAAAAGATAAGCTTGCTTCAAAGAGAAAGAGAGCCATTGTCAGAAGCCAACCAAATCTTCTCATCAACTATGTTTGAAATAGAAAGCCAAAAATTGTCTAGCAAAGCCTGGAGAGGAGGAAAAGTACCTTTCATTCTGTCAGAAATGTTCTAAGCATTGTTGTGCAGAAATTCACTCAGTTTTAAAATAAAAGAATTATGAAGGTTATCAAGAATTTTGAATTTTTGAGCCAAAGACTCATCAAACCAGGAATTCATCCTAAAATTGGTATTACATAATTACCAATAAGCCAATGAGTATTCTCATTGATAGTTCCAAAACTCTCTTTGCAACTACTCCAAATAGAGGATTTAATAGAGTGATTTATAGTTTTCTTGAAGACAAGAGCTGAGACCAACATTTGTTTTCTTGAAAAAGGTTCCAACACATACAGTAGAAACTCTTTAAATTAATACTCGGTAAATTAATAAACTCTCTAAAATAATAAATTTGTCCGGTCCCGATTTGGGCCAATGTAAAAAATTGAAAAACTCGATAAAATAATAAGATAATAATTTTTCGGGAGATCCCTTTATAATTTTCGGTCCCAAGAAAATCATAAATTAATAATTCATAGAAATTGAAAAAAAAAATATATTACACTCTATTGAAATGTGATTCAATAGTTGTCTCTTTTCCTTTAAAGTTCAAGTCTATTTGGAGCTTATCTCTAACTTTTCTTATTGCATCCAATAGCTCAGGTGTTGTATTTTTGTATTGTATCATAAAGTTGTGAAGAGTGTTCGACGCCATAAATGCTTCCTTTCGCGTAACAGGCTCCAAAGATACTGTATCATCTTCGCCGTCATCCTCTGCATTGTTCTCAATGATAGTACCCATAATATCTTCTAAACTCTGAACCTCCGAACATGCTTCATTTTCACTTGGGTAGTTCATTAGGTTGTCGATATCTATCTTATTACGATAGCCACATTGATTGATCATAGTCTTGAGGTCTTGGTATGTACAGTATAATTATTTAAAAACTCTTTAAATTAATAATTATTAATTTATCGATAAATTAATAACTCTTTAAATTAATAAATTTTTTCAGTCCTAACATTATTAATTTAAAAAATTTCTACCGTATATACAAATTAGAGGCTTCATTATAAGTCTTCAAAGATCTAATGCCAAGGCTCCCTTCATTCTTCTTTTTCCAGCAAATTTTCCAATCCACGGTCATAATATAGGTGATTAAATTAAAATTAAATTTTTTCACAAGTATTCAACCTATATAATTAACTGTGTAAAATACTTTTAACATTTCAATTAATTTTTTTATAAAATTATAAACTTTAAAAAAAAATATATATATTGTGGAACGGATTAAGTAAACAAAATTAGCATAACCATTAATTATTCTGAAATGGATTAAATAAAAAGTATAACCATAAATTATTGTGGATTGAATTAAATAAAGAAAAAATTTAATTGTATATACTGATAAGTATAAAGTAATTTTATATTTAATTTGTAATGTTATAAAATTAACTTAAAATTTATAATACAATACATACGAATTAAATTCCAATTAAATTTTCATAAAGAAAAAGTTAAATAAGAAAATCAAAATTGACGCCGACTCAAAACACTTTTTTTTTTTTCTCTATATAAAGTAGAAAATCACTTTCACTCTCTCTCCTTTTTGGTTATTGGGTTAGTTTCGTCTCTCTTACCTCACTGATCACATTTTTTCTTCTTTCTCCGTATATCTCTCTCACTCTCACCTTCCAAATTCCCCTCTTTCTCCCTTCTATCGTCACAACTCTCTGATTCTCTATCTCTCCACCACACCATAACAATGGTGGATCATCAAACCGTTTGCTGCATGTGCGGTGACGTTGGTTTCCCTGACAAGCTTTTCCGTTGCAACAAATGCCGCAACCGCTTCCAACACTCGTAAGTTCCATCCATCTCTTCTCGTCAATCATCATCTTCTTTTATCATATATGTGCGAGTGAATTAATCATAAAACTTAATTTAATATTTCTTTAATTTTTTTCAGGTATTGTAGCAACTACTACGGAGAACAAGCGGAGATAGAACAGTGCGATTGGTGCCAAAGTGAAGGGAAGAATTCAAGACATACAGGTTCAAATTCAAAGAAACCAGTGACGGAGATCGTTGGAACAACAACGAACCGTTTGGAATATCCTGGCGAGAAAATAATGAAACAACATGACCGTGAAGAGAGTGGCTCTGAAAAAGGAAAGAGTCCTTCTCCGTCGCCACGAACCGCCACACGTAGGTACAAGCTTCTCAAGGATGTAATGTGTTAGATAACTCGTGATCAAGAAGAAGAAGATAGATGACGGTGATGATGAAAATGAAAAATAGGTGACTTTTGTGTTAAGAAGATGTATGTGCTTTGTTTATGTCTATATAGCGTGTAGTGTGTTTGCAACAAATTAAAGAGTGTGTTTTCTTTGAGTGTTTTTCTCAACTTCTTCTCTTGTTATGAGTGGCTTTTCAGCAAGTTGTGAATAATAAAAAAACTATGTAGTAACTTTCAATCTATGTCATAAATTTTCAAGTTCTTATCTCCACTTTCTTTCTTTCTATTTGTTCCATTATAACTATAGTATATATCTATCTTTAATCACATTCACACATATATTTTATTGCTAATAAATACTATTCACAAATAGGTTCCATAAAAAAACAATCTAACTATATCATTTTTCATTGTTTCATTTTATTAAAATATTATGAGGGTAATGCATGAAATACATACATGAAATGACATAGGTTTCTTGCATGAGAAATGATGTAAAAACTAATATTCTATTGAAATTCAATTCTTTTAATATGCAAAGGTTAGTTAATTATTCATAATATTTTAAAATTATTATAATTATATAATGTAAATAATATACATAGAGTTCTTTTTATCTTGTTATTATTAATTTACAAAAATAAGTTGAAAGTTTTGGATGAATGAATTTTTCTTTTGGGCGAAGATATCATAGTACCGGAATCCTGTTTCTTTATAACACTTTGCAGATTCATTGAAAGCCTTTAATTGCTAGGACCTCTCTATTATTGTCCATTGTCAATGAAATTGAAGAGCTTCTTTAATTAGAAGTGGACGATTTTCACCACGTAAGTTATTATTATCCCTTCGTTCTCTCTCACTCTTTAATTTTTTAATTATAAATAAAATATAACCTGTGTGCTCCGCAATCTCAAGAACCATGTATCTTTAAAATATAGGTCAAAGTCTACTCATACATTTCTTGCATGTCTTTTTCATTAATTAATTTATCATACATGAGTAAAAAAAAACCATCACGTATGTTAATCTGTAAAACTATTAACCGAGAAAAATCGATATTGTTAAATTTAAATATCGTTAGAATGAACATTATCGCGAGAGTGCATAATCTGGTATGTATAGTTTTACGTGTGATTTTTTAATATTCTCTTTGGTTTTATTTATTGTCTCTAGTAAATAAGAGAAAATTTATTTTTTAAATTCATTCAATAATTAATTTATCTGATTTATATTTTGTGAAATATATTATTTATTTAATCAATTTAAAAAATAATTCTTTTTAAAAATAAAACTAGAGATAGGATACAAATATTGTTTTTTAGATTAATTGAATAAATAATTTATGTGAAAAAAAATATAAACTAGCAATAGTAAATACAAACTAGCAATAGCAAAATAGCAATAAGTAATGTATCTGATTTACATTAGTTATTAAATAAATTAAAAAATAATTTTTTTTTTTATAAATAGAATGTTAGCACTTAGTTTATTGAGTAAAAAATTGTACTTTTTGATAATAAATATTTGTCTAGTAAAAATGAATATTTGGAGAGAAAACAGTGAATGAAAAAGTTTTTAAATGAAGTACTAGAGTTTCTAGTTTTGGTGGTTGTATATAGACCATACATTTATGTCTCTGTGTGATTTTTTTCTATCAATTGTTTGTACAGTGTTGACTCCTAGTTTGTGAGTTATCTTCAAAGTACACAATGACAAGGCCTCTCCTTCACTGTGCCTGTTCTACCTATTTATTAGAAACCAACAAATACTATCTCATTGTGCTTTTGAAAGTGGACAATTATTTTCACCTTTTACATCTCCTTAATATTAATTTCACCTAAGAAATTTTTCACATAGATAAAATCTCTCTCTTTCATGTTCCAACCTTTGTCTGACCTTCATGTAATCTTCCTACCTAGTTGGGGACCTTATGAAGTGACAACAAAGAAATGAAATCTATGTGCCAGTAAACATATACATCGGCCAAATCTTGTACGGTTCCATGTGAAATAAAAGAGAAAAAAAAAAAGAAAAGAAAAAAGAAGAGAGATGGACAATTAGAGTTCCCCCAAATTTGTCCTAACAATTTTAGATTGGGTCGTTTTCAGCTAACTACTGTACAATAATTCTTTCTTTTGAAAAGCATCATTTTCTCTCTTTTGGATGCATCCATGTTATCACGTGTTGAGAGTGTGAGACTGTTGGTTCATGTATTAGTTTACTCTCAGACCAACTCCAATGGGAGTTCTTAGAGTGAGTTTGCCAACATGGCACTCATATTTGTTGTTTCCAAGATTGCCATGTTGTTGAACGGTGCTTAATTAAGCAACGGTTCTTCAACTGTTCTTATATTAAAATATTAATTTTATAATATAAAAATTATAATTTAATATAAAATTTTATTTATCATTTTAATTATCATATGAAAATTATAATTATAATATGAAAACTATATTTTAATTATAAGTTTAAATTATAAATTTAATTTGAATTTTATTTATTTTATTTTTATTTATTTTAATTTTTAATTTTAATTTTAATTTTATTTTATATCAAATTTAATTTAAAACACTAAAATTAACTAAGGAGAGATTGAAATATTTTTTAAAATTTAATCTAATTTTTTTTAAGTTTATATAGTAGAATGAAATATTTTTCCTTAAAACAACACTATATACCGGTTGGACTATATAGTAGATTGAAATAATTTTCTGTAAAAAAATTAAAATTATTATTTTAAGTGATATAAAATTTAATATGAATAAAATATTAACATATAAAGTAAACTTGTGGGACCCAATATGAGTTCTTCAGAATTGCACCATTGGAGTGAAAAATTAGTTGAGTTGTTTCAAGTTGACGTGGCTTAATAGGTCCCACAAAGAACCCAAAAATGAGTTCACGGTTGGAGATGCTCTCACATATATTATAAATATGATAAATGTTGAATATTTAAGAGTCGTGATCTATATATCTAATGCTTAAAAGTTGTTGACCGAGATGTGATTTCAAGACCTCTTTTGATCTTGTATCATTTGTTCGATGTTTCTCTAGACACTCACTCGGATTTTTGAATAAGTGATATTACTTAGTGGAAGATGGGAGTTAGTGCACCATGTTGTTAAGGGGCTTGTTCACGAGTATCTTCATTTTTTTGTTAGATAGAGAGTAGAACAAAATTCCCTGAAGTTGCTATGTGTTGAAGGCCAATCGTCTTCTTTTTGTGGTTTTTTTTAAGTGGTGGTTTCGTCTACCTCTTACATTGGAGGTCTGTTGTGTCTGTGGCATTAGAACATATTGGATTGTAAGACTAATTGACATGTTTTTTTCTTGTTCGTTTGTTCTATTGTTTTGTTTTGCATTTTGTCTTTTTTTAGTCTACGTTTTTGTCAGATTTGTTGTTCTTGCGCATTGTTGTTGTTAAGTATAACAAGTGTGAGTAGTGTGAATAATAGTCCTACATTGAATAGGAATGTGGTGACTTGAGCATTTATTAGTGGGAGAACCCACACACCTATCACCTTAAGGTTTTGGGTGAATATGTGGTGTCTCTCTCACAAACATGTTCTTCAAAAAAAGAAGTCCCACAATGTTTAATGCTGATGTACATCTTTGACAAAACTAAGGTGGAAGTATGAGCATTCTATTGATGAATGTTGGTTCAAGAAAGCTCAAAATACTGATGAAGAAGCAAATTTGGCCCATGGAGATGATTCCAGAACAATGTTGATGATGGCTACTACTAGTGTGAAAAGGATTAAGAATGAAGAATGGTTTCTTGATTCTGGGTGCTCAATCACATGGCATCACATAGAGAATGGTTGACAATTTTTTATGCTAGCAAGAAAACAAACATCAAATTGGATGGCAGTAGAGAATTTGCTGTTGAAGGTAGTGGAAATATAGTGATCAGAAGCAATGATGGCAAAAGAATCATTATTGAAGATGTGATGTATGTTCTTGAGATGAAGTGCAATCTCATGAGCATTGGTCAACTGGTGGAAAATGGATTCTTAGTGACCATGGATGGTGATTCTTTGAAGTTGTTTGATGCAAAGAAGAGTTTGGTGCTTAAATCAAACATGTCAAAGAATAGAACATACATATGCAACATCACAAGTGAAAAGATGATGTGTATGTCTACAGCAGTGAGTGAAGATGTTGAAGATCTATGGCACAAGAGTTATGGTCACCTAAACTTTAGAAGTCTTAGTGATTTGAATTCTAAAGAACTGGTGTATGGCTTGCCAAAATTGAATGTCAGAAGAGCCATTTGTGAAATATATGTAAAGAGCAAGCAAATTAGCCTTTCCTTTTCTCCTGAAGCACCTAAAAGAGCTAGTGTAGCACTTCAGGTGGTTCACTCTGATATATGTGGTCCTTTTGAAGTATCTTCATTAGGGGGAAGCAAATGCTTTATCACATTTGTTGATGAATGTACAAGAATGATATGGCTGTATACAATCAAGCTTAAGAGTGAGGCTTTAAATTATTCAAAAAATTCAAAACTTTAATAGAAAAGGAATGTGATAAATCTATTAAGATCTTGAGAACTAATGGTGGGGGAAAATACACCTGAAAAGAATTTGAAGCCTTCTATGTCAATCAAGGCATTATGCATGAGGTAACAACTCCCTATATACCTCAACATAATGGACTTGCTGAGAGAAGGAATAAAACTCTTCTGAATATGGCAAGAAGCATGATCAAGAAGAAAAACCTACCACATAAGTTTGGGGATGAAACATTCACTACAACTGTTTACATTCTGAATAAATATCCTACAAAGAAGCTGAATTTGAAGGTACCAGAGGAAGCTTGGTGTGGAAGAAAGCCTAGTGTGAAGCATTTCAAGGTTTTTGGCTCTTTGTGCTACAAACATGTACCAGATGTTAGAAGAAGCAAACTTGAAGATAAAAGTGAGATTATGATACTTATAGGCTATCATCCAACAAGTGCCTATAAGTTGTATAATCCTCTAACTCAAAAGGTACATGTAAATAG